ACTATAGCTAAATTACTAAATTACTAAACCGCCTTACCGAGGATAAGATACTATTTAAGTAGACCTCTAAATATAAATAAGCCTTCCGAGAGATAAAGCGTATAATAATAACTACGCCGGTACTAGCTTACTACGACCTATTAGCCCCTACTAAGGTCGAAACGGACGTATTAGAAGGATATATCGGAGGCGTTCTGTTATAACTCTAGCCGGATAGCTACTAGTATCCTATTTACTTCTATTCGTCGAAGCTGACCGCTACGGAATAGCGGTAGGATACCTATAACTACGAGATATTTACGATTATTAAAAGCCTCGATATCTAGAGAGCAGAGCTCGAGGGATTATAATAAGATAACCGATTTAGTATCTTCTTAGATTATTAGTCGTTATAATATTTTATAACGATAAAGAGACTAAACGCCCGGTAGGCTCGTTAGGGTAAATTCTTATTAAGATTTCACTTCTTAATACGTTACTTTATAGGAAAGCGGAATATTATCGCTAATATACTCTTACGGAAAGACCTAGGTACCTCCGACGCCTAGGAGTAGATCCTTCTACCTCGCGAATGCCTCGAGTAGGGCGTATACCCTAATAATAATAATCCTAATTAGTTGATCGCCGAAATCGCCCCGGTTAAGACGACTCTTGACGATTAACCCTCGACTGTCTCTGCTGCGACTAGAATAGTCGAGCGAGTCCTCTAAGCGAATCTAACCTATACCTTACTCGAAGTAAATCGAAACTAGGTAAGAATAAGTAAGGACGGATAATAGGAAATAAGAGATAGCCTCTTACTCTACGATAGAAAGCTAGTAGTACCGGATAACGAGGATCTAAGAGCTCGCTTACTCGATAAGATTTACTAGTAACTATCTACGGCGTACCCCGGAGAGACTAAGCTAAAGGCCCTTCTCTCGAGCCGCTATTAGTAGCCTAGCTAGGTAACCGATATCGAACGATATATAGAGAACTGTCGAATATATAAACGGACGAAGATATAGCGAGATAAGCCTCTAGGGTTATTATAACTACTATTTACCCCGTAACGGCTATAGTAATATATTATAATAGATTTCCGTTCGTTCCCGAAGGATAAGTATAGTTATAATATAGTGTTCGTAGTATACTATCGCCTTAGTAAGCGCTAGGCGTCGATTCTGTACTATAAGACTACTACGGCAGAAGAGATAGCTACTTTATTTATAATATATCTCTACCGATAGGTAGATATACCTAATTCGATTATATCGGACTACGGAGGATAGTTTATATCTACGTTCTAGACTGAATTCTGCCGAATACTTAGTATTAAGCGAAAACTATCTACGGCTTACTACCTGTAGACTGATAGTTAAAGCGAGATCGCTAACTAATAGATAGTCTAGCGTTTAAGAGTAATAGTAAATAAATATTAAGATAATTAGTTAGAATAGTTACTAATAATTAATTTCGCTGCGTTAGCTCTACGCTAGGATTTAATAAAGAGATCTCCTTTCTTTATCGAACGAGGATACGAGCTAAGGATATCCTTCGATTAGAACCTACCTACCGAGACCTCCCTTTCGCTAGAATTAACCGAAGAAGTACGGACGTTCGTAAAGCGAATCGAACGTATCTAGAAAGAGACTACCGAAGCGGTTAGACGTATATAGGAACGCTAACGGACTTAGGCTAATAAGTATCGCCGGGAGGTTAATTTCGATAAGGAAGATATAGTTTATATTATAACCTATTATTAGGGACTAGATCGCCTAAGCTATAAGCTATCCGATTAGTCTAGTAGACTATATAAGATCTTAAAGAAAAAAAGGAATGCGTTTAGACTCGAACTACCCCCGTCTATAAAGGTTCACCTAGTATTTATACCGAGTAAGCTACGTTTTATATCGAAGAGAAAACTATTACCGGGATAGATTGAGGACCCGCTACTACTAATAATAGTTAATAAGTAATAAGAGTAGGAGGTTAAAGAGATCTTTCGGTTACGTTTATACTACCGGAAGTTTTAGTATAAGGTAAAGTAGTTAGGCTACGATAAAGACGATACCTAGTATTATACTGCGGATTTCAAAAATACACCTCTAAAATTACTCGACTTCTACCGGAGATATCCTGATTCCCCCGGACCCCCGAAGAACCTACAGGCCTAGCTAGCTGCAGCAGAGATTGACGAATTCGTGAGTGATTATCCAGATAATAATTTTCTAGAGTCTCGGGGCGAGACTCTTTAAAGAGGGGGACTATGTAACGTATAGCTTATATAAAGGACTGTTGGAGAGGAGGACTGACGGAGCTGAGGCGGACTAACCGGATTGGGACGGGTTACGTAGGTGGCCATTTAGATAGCTGGCAGCTTCCCCCACAGTCTCTTCCTTCTTCACTTTCGTTGTTCGTTGAATGCACCTATTTTCCTTTACAGCTGGCTCCTTCGTAACAGACTATCTTACTTTTATATATATTTATCCTAATAACCTAGTAATAACCTAGCGATAACCTAGCGATAACCTAGTAATAATCTAATAACCTAGTAATACCCTAGTAATAACCTAGTAATAACCTAGTAATAACCTACTAATAACCCAATAACCTAGTAATAATCTAGTAATAACCTAATTCCTACCCTAACTCCTTTTTTTATCCTTAAAAATTTTTTATCTAACTATACCTATAGTTATAGTTTAGCTTCGAAAGTCCTAATACTACTAGACTAAAAACCTTATAATTTATATAACCTTAATAGCTACTAATCTACTATAGGTTTAAAAGGTTTAAAGTAATACCTAATAATAGGGTTATATAGGTTATATAAAGTCTAGGTAATTAGACTAATATTATATATTATATATTAATATATATATCTATATAGTTATATCCTAAATTCTAATAGCCAATAGAAATATAGTAAGGATATTAATAGTCTCTAAATAGTAGATAGCCTAAATTCTAATAGCTACTAAAATATAGTAAGGATATTAATAGTCTCTAGTAGTAGATAGCCTAAATTCTAATAGCTATTAGAAATATAGTAGAGATATTAATAGTCTCTATATAGTAGATAGCCTAATTTCTAATAGCTATTAGAAATATAGTATTAAATCCTATATAATTAATAATCATAAATTATAATAGCTATTAGAGAAATAGTACTATAGCCTAAGTACTTATTTATCGTATTAGTTTAAAGTATTAGCTAGAACTAATATAAAAAATAGTATTTTATTTTAATAATTAAGTAGCTTTATAACTAGAGTTATATAAAAAGTTAGGTCGAATTAGGTTATATTAGGTCTTGCTAGGGCCCTAGTATTAGGTCCGGGTTGGGTCCGGGTTAGGTTCTGGGTCGAGATCTTCGACCTAAGTTAGGTTTTGCGGAAGTCTATTTCTAATATCTATTAAGTATTTTATATCTAGGGAAATTAATAGTATCTAGATAATAGATATTATTAAATTCTAATAGCTATTCAACTTTCTAATAGCTATTAGAAATTAATACTAAGGATATTAGCTAACTAATATATATTTCTAACTACTAAACTAATAAAACTCCTATCCCCCCCCCCTAACCTCTCTATAGAGTAGTAAAATACTTAAATTTTAGTTAGTTCCTATATTTCAATAAATAAGATTCTAATATATAAGCTTATTTTACCTACTTTATTAATAATTAGGCCTAATTTATTGTGAATATTAGTATATATACTAAAATAGTATTTAATAAGAGTAATAAATATCGCTAAATTATTACTTTATTATAACGAAGTGTTATAATACTGTACGCTACTATATGTATCGGTCCTGAGCATATTAGCCGTTAGGCTAATATAGTAGTCTTTTGGCCTAGTTATACGCTTATGTGACTTAGGCATGTTTCGTAACATTTATATAGCCGAAAAAGGAAGGTCTTAGTAGAATTATAAATATATAAAGGACTATACAGGGGCCTATAGTACGGTCCTAAGTACTTTGAAAAAAGACTAAGGACTAGAAGGCCCAGTCCTAGTCCTAAGATTTAGGACTGAACCTAGTCTTTAGCGAGGTCTAGTCTTGCTAAGAATAGCGAGTGGAGTAGTGTAAAGAGATAGGAATTGCGGGAGAATCGACTTTATCACGTGGTAGTAGTGTAGATTAGATTTTGAGATAACTTCTGGTGAGTGAGCAATGAGGGACGAGAGGAGTGTTGGCTTTATGTTAAATGACTACTGCCCGATACTAGTAGCTGCCCTAAACTAGCGCCTAACCATAGGCTACAGCGCTGTAAATAGGCTTCCGTAGGAACCAGAGGAATAGGACCTAGGTTGATATAGGAAATGGGACCAAACCTCTATCCTAGCACTGCTTCCCCCAATTATGGTTTTTGGCGTAGTCTAGTACTGGCCACTATATCCTCCAGCCTATAGGTACGGTCCGTTTAAATTAGTTATAAAGGGTCGGTTACTTATCTCTAGATGCTTCATGTAAAGTGCTATATACCTTACGGGAGCGAGGCGAAGCGATCCTAGTTACGCGTGTTAGCGTAGCCGTAGTATTGTGATTTTTTGAGGCGGAGTATTTCTAATAGCTCGTAGGGGAGGATGGAGTCTATTTAGTTCTGATATCCTCAAGGCAGCTCTGTAGGTTAGGATAGCTGTCGACCAGCAGGGTCTCCGCAATAAGGTCCCTTTTAGTCTTCCTCCGTTAGACGTAACATTGCGTAGTCTTCTAGCGAGTTCCAAATAGGGTGTATATAGTATATTTATCAAAACTAAAGTATAAAATTATAGGGAGGAGGCTACCTATTTTTATTATGTTTATAGTCAGTAATATAGTGATAGCAACACAAATATAAAGCAGAGAATTGTAGAAGAAAACACAAATATACCAAGAAAGTAAGAAAGACCCATCGTTCCAGCCAAGATCTATGCATGAGACACATTTAGTTTCATAAGCAGGCTTATGTAACAAGGTGCCCTTCGCGACCTCTGCGGATACAGCGCACTAGCTCCCTTCCCTTCCTATTACCATCCATATGCCTCTTCAAAGTATTCGATCGGCATCTTCCAGGTTTTCAGCACCATTACCATCGCAGTACGGGCCTCGTCCGCCATGCTAGCTGGCCCACAGACGACGATCGCGGTTCTCTCATATCGACAGCCCTCAGCGGAGATACTGCGAACATATCTCATGATCTCATCATTAACATTCGGTCGACCTTGGCAAATCTCGAGTCCACACAATTGAGATGGGAGCAGATCAGCATCTTGGGCCAAGGAAGTGGCATAGAACGATGTGCGAATGTCGCTTTGCACTTTCAGAACTGGCGCCAACATGTCTAAAACGACGTGCCGGATGTGCTCTACAGTTCGCGAGGCCCAGATAAGGTCGATTCTCCTTCTCAGCAAAGTGTGAGGTGATTTCGCCACCCGATAGGCATGGTCTGTTAGATAGGATGCTGCCACAGAGATACCAGTGCCCCCGACGATATATAATACATTATCGAAGGCGTGAAGGGGAATACTTTTACCATAGGGGCCTTCGATGAGAACTTTCATATTTGGAAGGACACCACCATTCTCAAGGCATTGATCCCGGAGTTCTTTCGTCCAGCCGGAACATGGGCGGATCCAAAATACCAACTTCCGTGCATTGGACTGCTTCACACTATTATCGTCATCCAACGATTGTGAGTCTGACCCATCTGTTTGACCAATCTGGTACTCAATGTGATTGCTATGTCTCTTTTCCGAAGGAACAGACTGTGCGAATGTCTGCAGCTCGGCGGCAGTACTGGGCTGGGATTCCCCTTTTTCAAACTGGAGCTTTTTAGGCGGTGGCGAGTCGCCGACTGGCACCCAGGTAGCCGTGGTGAAGGGATGGTTCTCCCACGCTCTCCACCGGGAGGGCTGGTAAATATGATAATAAGATCCTGGACGAGCCTGCCGGAAGGTACGCCTCGGGATAACCTCAAGTTGGATAATGTCCATGCCGGCACTATAACTTGCAGTTGCAAATGTGCCAAGGACATCCCCTGTGTAATACAATTGGCAATTGTGGTAAGCAAGGCGAATCAAACGGGACCCTCGGTCAATGAGCCAAATTATCAGTAGTGGCCAGAGGTAACCGTTAAACTGACTGTTATATAGGGAGGTGTGACTTGAATGTGAGAGCTGTTAGAGGTGTAGGAGGGATGGAATAGCGGTCCCGCGGAACTTCACAAACCGGAATAAAGCAATGATAACCAGCAGTGCCAGCAGATTATGAAGTATCAAAAAGAACTCGTAATGGTGGTGGCGAAAATACGAGGCAGAACAGAACACAATAAGCCCAATCGAGGATAGAGCCTGAGCACAGAAGACAGGAGGTTAGGATCTTTAAGCGAGAGAAAAGCAACGACAGAAACCGATATACATACCACAGCGCCCATTTGAAAATAGTTGTCTGCCCAAACCGCTAGATAAGCATGATCTAAGTCCAATTAGTGGGCGATAGCTCGGGATCAGAAACTCTTATAGGCTCCGGCGGGAAACCCTTACCGTGCACTTTCCAGACAGTGTACGTTGTCGAATGGATGATACCAAGTAAAAGGACCACTCGTGCGATATTCCGGTGGAAAATACTGAATGTTGAGTATTTCCATCCAGTCAACGAAAGGAAAATATTGTTGCGTCCCCCAAACAGCCATAGCCAGGGCAGATTAGCCAAGGTCAAATTAGCAGCTCGATTTGCAAAATATTGCCACTGCTGGGCAAGTTGAGGATAGCTGGATCAAATCGAATTAGTGGAGTCACTACGATATGGAAATGTGAGGGTTATAACTGATATAACCTACCGAATATGTGGGTAGAAAGTATCGTACGTCACAGACAAAAGGATGACGTTAAGGGCCATGTAACTGAGAACCACGATTGACTCCAACCGTGTTGGAATGGTACAGTAAAACCAAGGGCGTTGATGATAAGAGTTGAAGGTTGCTGGAATGGTGATCTTCTGCCGCACCCAATGCCATGCTACTCCTAGTCGAGAGGGTCCACACCACGCTGGGGTTCTTTCTCCCTCAAGGTCCACAGCACGTGCCGTGAGTCGAGAGATCGAATACGCAGTTACGCATTGATATAGCATTCCGAGGAAGAGAATGGCACCCCAGAACCCATACAAGGCCCATCTAGTAGTCAATCAGTTAAAATTGCCTGCAGCTTATTGGCAGAATTATCGTGGCAGATGACAACGTACCCATATAGGACTTGGACTGAATATTGCTTATCCATGGCCGTCTGTGGTCATGTCAGCAAAGAAGGAACCTATTAAGCTCTTTTCTTTTTTCGCGAAACGCTGACCGTTGATCTCACGGCGATCTCATAGAGCTCCTGGGATAGTAGGACCGAGGTATTCCAGTTTCTTTTTTTCTCAACGTCCTTGAAGGTTACTACAGGCAATGACTGTATATAGTCAGGCGTAAGGTGCGGATCAACCGTGCTATACGGCACTAGTGGTGTTTTCCGAGGCAGGCAGATGTGCGCTAAATACATTGACCCAGCTTCAATCTCATCCTCCGTGCAGTATACCTTGGCAGCTGCCCACAGTGAGTAGACATGATGGTTGCCAACACAGGTAAAGGCGCCACCCTTCTCCCCAGTGAATTTGAAGGTTGCCACAGCTGTTTGGATGCCGTTGATGCACTCGATAGAGCCGCTAAGAACGGACTGGACACTTGTCAGGAGAAACACAAGAAGTGCAGTCTTTCCCCGCATGATGATGAGCAAGACAGATATGGTCGTGGGTATTTATTTCGTGACCAAGGGGCGGGGCTGAAATAAGTTCACAAAGAATGAGGCTTGATGAGATGCCCTATCTTGCCACTATGCCATGACAGATTCAAGCTCAAGAAGAAGATGGGAATGGGGAATATATAGGGAAATCAAACAGTAAGATACGGGAAGCAGAGATTTTCATGAATTGAAAACATCGCTGGTTTGAGTGGAGACACAATGCAACAATGTACTCAGCTAGCAAATCACCCCACGGGGTCTGGGGTAACCTAGCGAAACTCAGACAATCCCCGCTCTACTCAAAGGAATATCCTTAGGTCTGATGCTACCCCGTTAGTTAGCATTGCTTATCACAACCAAAGAGAGAGATGTGTATCCTTGGGAAGTGGCCGAGAAACGGCGCTGGTAGTGGGGCCGTTGGTCCTATGCCCGTGCGGTCAGAGTAGAGTGGGTCTGGGGGAAATACTAGCTCAACTACTCCATACTCCGTATTTAATGATTCGTGCCCTTCGGCACCAGGCTGGGCGTGAGTGGTGGCTCAATGCTCTGTGGTATTGACCCTACACCTAGGTCAGCGTGTCGTTGTAAGTGAATTTTAATTTCCAGCTGTTGAGAAGGGGTCACTATTGTAAATACTTCAGGATGATAATAGTTCATACAGTGCACGACCACTCTTCATTATTCATGGAGAGATGAGGAATAAACACCGCATAGGACTGGGCTCCATGAATGCCAATGTGGTGATTCCTGGACGTGGCTGGGAGGTTGGGAACAAAGGACGAGCAGAGAGGAAGGAGAGGATCAGACCCGCAGGTTTCAATATGTGGTGCTGGGACTGGGCAAAATACGCACGACGTCGGTGGCCGCAGCTTCAGATGGCAGGGATCACTGCCCGGGATGTGAGGTTGTGGTGGTGAGCGATTCAAAGAGTTGGCTCAATGTCCTCGGCAAAATCAATCACTTGCAGCTGGCTGGAAAGTAGCAACACGGCCCCACTGTTGCTGGAACAATAGGTTCGTCCCGAATTTCGGGGGTTATCCTTTTCCTGACAAATATTCGCGAGTCCATCGTACCCTGGTGGCACCAATGCGGTCCTGTGCCAACCTCTCCGGCCTCCGGAACGGCACTATACTCTGTATAGTTTGTTCTATAGGAGCAGAGCAGCTTACGGTACGATAGTTGATTATATATTACTCCTCTCCCTAAAAAGCTTGACCTTTCTATGAAACATTGTGATTGTTTTGCGATTTCCAGGAAAATATCTACACTCAGAGCCATTGTAATTCATATAGGATCGTATTAGAGCCCTACAACAAGAGTCTAGGTGCCGCGAAGGTGTTGCTCTTAAGAGCGTATAAATAAATACTCATAAAACGCTGTTGAAACGCGATTATCGATGGTGCCTAGTACTGTAGTGCTGATATTCTATAGATCCTATAATAGAGACTCTTAGGTTTCACTGGAGTGGGGGTTGTCTGTTTGTTGGGGTTTACGACTTGGCCGTTGAGAATTAACTTTTGTGGCGGGATCTTTGTCAGTATAGGTATTTAAATAAAATTCTAGAGTTAATTTTACTCCGCCAATCAAGGTTACACTCCTCGACGGAATGTATCTCAAGAAGCTTCAGCCTTTCCTGTTGGGTCCTGTTGTGGAGATTCTGGAGGCTAGGTGATAGCTCCGAACTCCTACATACCCTTTAGGTTAGGGGGTGGGCGTAGGTCTCTAGCTATCGATTTACGACGATCTCGGCGATTTCATATAGAATAGGGTCAATATTATGGCGATTTTCGGCTCTTCCTAAGTCAACGTGAGACTTCCTATATACCTTAAGCCAGACTATGCAGATTGCCATTTCTCTTTACCTGTTCGCTATTAAGGCCCTAAGTTTCCGCGCTTAGTCTGTGTATTATGCGATCTCAAAAATACTATTAGCCAAATACCTTGGCAAAGACTGTAATGACTAGACCAGACTATATAGATAATACTTATTGCTATTCCTGTAGGAAATATACAAAAGTCTATCCTAATTCCTTATAGTAAATAGGTTCCTGTATCCTAGCTATAATTATTTGAATCAAATTAGCCTAGCTAAAATATCTGGTAAATATTACGATAATAGAAAAGAGCTAACTAGGAGATAACCAGGTGTATTTAATAAGATAACGAAGGTAAAGAAGAAAGAAACTATAGGCAATCGAGATAGCATGATAGTGGTAGTCAGGAGCAAAACCAGATATCAAAGAAAACTACGCAATACACCACTCGACCACTCTTCAAGGGTGGGAAACAGAGCAGTGGTAAAAATATATTTACATCATCCTAGAAATACAGGGTATATTCCCCAAAGACTTACTAGCTGTAGACTACCGTATCTCGAAACGGACGCATATGTCAATGATTCCATTCTAGGAAGGGCAACATGTTTCCTCTACTAACCAATAAAGGGGAAGGTAGGAAGAGGTTCCCACCCTCCTGCCACCGCTCTAGAGATCAGAATGAACACTATCTTCTTTGACCAAATCTTTAGAATTTATTGCGAAATTCAACCTACAAGCCGAATTGGAAATATTAATGCTCTATATCTCGAGCAGCTCTACTGTTAGTCCGTGTTTACTCAAGATGCTAGCCCTGAAGCAGTCTATAATCTTGCACTCCACCGTCAGACGTCCTTGAATTTCAATTGGTTTGTGTCTAATGAAGAGGGTGGTGAAAAAGAGGGGTTCCTCGTCTCTCCTTCCTCTCTCGTTTCGTTTCCCCAACTTTTTTGCGCCCCTTTCTTTCTTCCTCCGAAGTTCGGCAGTAATTCCTGGGGCGTGCGACAGGGGGAGACTTCCACATTCCTGATTTCGGCTTCGCTTCGTATGCCTCTATTCTACCAGGATGAAATAAAAGTCTGAGCTGTATGGAGCAAGCTGATATCGACTCAAGAATAACGATCAGCATCTATTTAGCGTATGCATAGACCATTTACCCCGCCTGGGGAGGTTGGTGGAGCATTATCGGTAAAAAGGTCCTGCTGCGTATTGTGTGTACAAACAGCTGTGTGGCTTGCCAGATGCCGGACTAGACGTCAACGGACTAGCAGAACAACCAGGACAAGAAGCTGGCTCTGTCCAGCTGGCATGACACCGGTGCAGACTCGTTGGTCAATTGTGGTCAAGGCCAATGGGCAGGAATCGATAAGGATGTACGGCGGGGTACGGGGGGCTGGGGGAAATCTCGGCCCAACCCGTTTCTCGAGACGAGCCAGTCCGCGGCATATATCGTGTGATTGGATCGCAGCGCTGGTGCCCCCTGGACCTGGGCGGGGAAGAAGAAGAAAACAAGGGGGAGTAAGCTTTTGTGGAAATGTAGTCAGGATTCTGCGGTCTCGGACCCTCTGGACCCCCCGAGTTTTCCCGGAATACTCTGGACTAGGGAGTGTGTGGCATTCTGTATGTACGTGTACTGTACATACAACCTACTGTATGGAGTACGGTGTCCCTAGTACAGTATAGTACTAATAATTCGTACCTGTGCTCGGTTGTGTCTTCGGAACGCTTCAGTCGCTAGTCCCTATCCGTCCCACCCTCCCATCTTCCCATCTTCCCATCTCCCTATTCATTTCATCTTCTGTACCAAGTTTGCCAAGCTATGGCATCTGTGCCAACTTTGCCAACTATTGCTTGATAGTTCTGTGCGTTCTTGGCCGAGAGCTTAGCTCGGAGTATCCCGCCAGATACTACTCTTCTTGTCCTAGTGACCTTGCAAGCGCTTACAGTCCGAGCATTACAAACCAGCGTATCCACGTGGCGCACAAGTCGCTCGCAGCAGCGAATCAACGGAGGCAAGATTGCAAACCCCAACAACCGCAATCGCTCATCACACAGAGGTCTACCACGAAGTGCGAGTGCGAAGTGTGGGGATGAGCTACGAAAGGAGACGACCTGGCCCCCCGGAAACTCCTCATTCGCTGTGGGCCGTGGTTGGGGCCCCAGATATCAACATTTCCACTCTGTGGAGGTTCCTCGATTCCTCCTCATATCGGACTTTACTCGACTGGAAGACAGACCACGCGCCATGTCTAAACCACTCTAACACATCACCGGCCGCCCCACACCCCCAGCTGCCCACGGGGAAATTCACTGGGGAAATTCACTGGGGAAATTCATGGTAGCCCGAACAAACCAGAGTCAATCTTCCGAATCCTGGAGGGATTCTCGGCTCCCTAGTGATGGGGTAATTTAAACAGTTGCATCGGCCCTTCGGACTCCTCGTTTTTCTCTTCTCCCTCTTCCTAAAGACAGTCCTCCCTACGTAGCAATCACTCATACTCGACGACCAGCATGGAGCAGTCTACGGAGCAGCCCACTAAACGTCCCTTTTTCAAAAATGCCCTTGCCGATACCCCCTCGCGAGGTGCTGAACTGGAGGCTTTTCTATGCAGTCATATGTTTTGGTCTCATGGTGCGTCATGTCCTGCCTATCCCCTCTCCGCTGTTGCAACATTGACTAACATGCTTTGATTCTTCCCAGGGAGCCGCTCGTGGTTTGGATGAAGGCTTGATCGGCACGACAGTCGCGCAGAAATCATTCATGTCAGGTACGATATTTCCCGTGCCCCTGCTTGCTCACCTTCATAAAAGGAACACCAGAGGAGGGACGATAGGCCGCTAACGTCGAACAGAATATGGCTTGGTCCCTTCCAAGAAGCCAACCACAGCGGAACTCGCAATGCTCGCTAACCGCAAAGGAAACATTACCGCGATGGTGCAGATTGGCAGTGTGGGTGGTGCGCTCCTCGCGTTCATCTTGTGTGACAAGCTTGGTAAGTACCAGCTTTCGCCCCTCCATCTTCATCCATTACAATGTCTTTGTTTGTTTCTGACCGCAGTATCATGGTAGGACGGCTATGGGCCGCTCGTCAGCTATGCTGTGTCTGGATTATTGGTACCATCGTCTACATCACCGCCAACGGCAATTATGGCCAAATTTTGGCTGGCCGCTTTGTGATGGGACTTGGAATCGGTCAAACCACAGTGGTTGCTCCTGCGTAAGTCTACCCTGTTTAGCCGATGGCTCTTCTCCAGGCAGAAAGCGACGCGCGACATAAGGCATGGGATTGTTAGAACAGGCATGCTAATGAAAAAGGACAGGTACCTGACTGAGGTTGCCCCAAGGACCATTCGTGGTCTCTGCGTTTGCATTTTTAGTGGCTCCGTCTACCTAGGCATCATGCTGGGCTACTTCGCCAACTTTGGCACTTCGCTTCATATTTCCAACAAGAACTCCCTACAGTGGGTGGAACCCACACTGATGCATATTATCTTCGCAAGCATCATCTTCGTCATGTCCTTCTTCGCGCTCGAGTCACCCCGTTGGCTTTGCAAGGTTAAGCGATATGATGAGGCCGCCGCCATGATGGCTAAGCTTCGCCATCTTCCAGAAGATCACCACTACGTCCGGACGGAGCTGATCGACATCCGTGACCAGTTGGAGCGAGAGCAAGAAGCCACCATGGGCTCTAGTTTCTTCGGACCTCTGAAAGAGTTGTTCTTGATTGGTAGCAACCGCTACCGGATTGTCCTTGGTCTCATGTGTCAACTCCTTGGCCGTAAGTCCTTATACTAACCCAGACTCGAAATGATCGCGCTGACCTTGATTGTAACTTTCAGAATGGAGTGGTGCGAATTCAATGACAATCTATGCTCCCCAGTTCTTCCAGCTCCTTGGTACCACCGGTCAATCTGAGAGTCTCTTTGCTACTGCCATCTTTGGTGTCGTGAAGCTGGTCTCTGCGCTGACGTGTGCCTTCTTCCTCGTCGACTTTATTGGCCGCAAGCGCGCCCTGAGCATTGGTATTATCATCCAGTTTATCGCTATGCTCTATATCGCCATCTATCTCACCAGTGTGCCCACCATCACCGCTGGCAAAGTCCAGAGTGGCGCCGCCAAACACGCCGCCACCGGTGCGATCGCCATGATCTATTTCTCTGGAGTCGGCTGGGCTCTCGGCTGGAACAGCATCCAGGTCAGCTATCTCCTTAGACTGCCTCTTTTCCTTTTCTGGACCTGATCTGTTACATACATTTTGTTTCCATCGCCGCTAACATATCCTAGTACCTCATCGGCGCTGAGATATTTCCCCTCAGAGTCCGTGCCCTGGGCACTAGTATTATTATGTGCTTCCACTTCATCAATCAATATGGTAATAGCAAAGCGGTCCCACTCATGCTGCTCACCCAGTCTCCTGGTCTCAAGCCCCAAGGCACCTTCTGGTTCTTCGCCGCTGTGACCCTGCTTGGTTTGGTATATGTCTGGTTTTTTGTGCCTGAGACCGCGGGCAAGTCGCTCGAGGCCATGGATGAGATGTTCGGCCTGCCGTGGCACGTCATTGGCCGCAAGGGTGCGAAGCTCACCGAGGGTATGGGAGCCTTGTCTGAGATGGTCGGACATGTCGACAATGAGAAGTTGGCTCAGTTGGAGGCAGAGCATGCGGAGCATTACGAGCATGCGCCACAGGCTCGGGCTGAACTGGCTACCGAACGTGCTTAATGGAAATATTACCCTGTTGATAACTGTTAATATGCGCTAGGTAACATTGCTTGGGAGTTGAAGGCAGCGGAAATCTCAACTCTTGGCAAGGTATCCAACAAGGCATCATTCAAATTGATTTCAAATAGATCTGATTTTCTCAATTGCATCTATATGGGACATATTCCAATGTTGATTCTCTGTCTTTTGATCGGCCAATCCTCATTTCACAACGCTGCTCCTACGCGCTGGTGAGCAAAGGCCCATTAAAATGAATCATTCAACCCACTGTACTAGTCTCCGGAGGAGTGGCATCAATTACAGACTTTTTGTTTATGCACCTTATAGTTAAGAATCTAGTCGACTATAGCGACCTAGTTGGCTATTATAGCACCTTTTGATATACTTCTAACTTCTTTAATATTGGATTGTTTTGGTTCCAGTTTTTTGATCTTTTAATCCGATATATAGATCTATCTTAATATGAAGAAATATTCTAGAATACTTATCTAGAAAGCCTTTATCCTACAGGGTTAGGTCAATAGTATTATCTTTTAATAGGGGAGATTAAGACCATAGGTAATATCTTTCATCTATACTCAAATATATCTCTTTGATCTTACTACTATATCTAATCTAGAATAATAGAACTAAGAATATTACCATACTAAGTTGTCTTTGGTAGTCCTGCTTTGCCTTCCAGACACACTCGATGTTCTGTTGGTAATTCATATTCAATCAGTCCTAGAAACAGTAGAGAAGCGGTTCAATGACGGGGATCTTACTGAGCCATGGTCACCGTCCTGGACACTGTATTTCGGAGGATGAAGGCAATAATTAGCAACCACAATAGCGACAGCCGAACGTAGAGTGGAGAAAAAAAAACAGACTCATGAGTTAAGTGATAGCACCTATGTTAGAGAATATTTCCATCAAATAAAATTCAACGTACGATTGTGAGAAGCAATAACTCACATGGGAATTCATCACACGGCATACTATACGTATATCCTGCCAGCAACTGGTAGTCCTGTGTAGCTTGGGAGCCAAGATTCATCTCTCGGGCGATATCCGTCGGCCACAAGGATAATTTGAGAGCGGTGTACTGTTCTATCCCTCCACCGGTCAAACCGTAGGCGTCCTCACGGTTTCCAACAGAGTTTACTTACTCTGAGATGTGATCCAAGATCATATATGCCTCGCCACTGTTATGATTAGTGATTTCGCCTGGGAAATTTGATCCCTGACTGGCTATGCCGTCCTGAATGTAGTTGAAGATGTTGTCATAGATACATAAGGGTGTGATTAGCAAAGAACAAGCAATCAACGGGGTGGATCATACTGCATATTGTGATGCTGTCAGTCAGTCCATTGGTATTCTGGATTTGATTTTCAACAGTGACGCGCTTGAAAAAGTCTCTACCACGGTTGTAGAGCATCGCTGAACGGCGAATTGTCAATGCAAGTTCCCCTAGACGAGCCCTCAATCGTTGTGGAGAAAGAGATCAAACCGCCAAAGCAACCAGCATCAATAGAATTGGCGACCAGAGCTTCGGCAATGCTACGCTTGCTGAGGTCCATGTCGATCGATTACGTGATGCATGTGCCTTTAACCGGTGTAAGGCGCTTGTCAGGTGACGCTAGGTCTAGGCTATCACCCCGGTAGGCCACTTTATTCAAATAGCTAACCCAAGTCAGCGGTTATCCGCTCACATTCTGGCCAAGAGGAACAATTTCGAAGAGAATATTCTCATCTCACGTCTGCCTTCACATAGAGATCATAGAGGAAGCCCGCCCAATAGCAGCATCCAGCTAACGCTGAGCCATCACTGCTCACAGACGCTGTAGCATGAAGCCAACACTGAGTTCTTTTCTTGGGTCCCGCAGTGACATATCCGGACATCAGAGTACCGCCCAAGACTGAAATACCGATTCGTGCTTCCGGTGTGAGTAATACCAAGGATTATTATTAGTATTAAACTAATGAAGATTTTCAAGGGAATCGGAATAACATACAGGACATCTTGCCTTCTCCCGTGAGAGCCGCATTAAATGTAGGCCCCATAGTAAAGACCTGTTTATCATTATTGTTGAGGTCTGCTAGGTTATCAGAGGCACCCTCCCTATTATCATTTTATAGATAGTATACCTGCGCATATGGCCACTTGAGTGAAACGCGAGTAAAAAGCCTGCATTCAACTCTCCGGAGACTCTCATTGAAGCATCCGTCTCGCCGATCAAGTTCAACTCCGGGCCAATGCTAATTAAACCCTTGACAGAAAAGCCTGGGAATGTCAATCTGTTGACGATGTAAGCTAGGTCAGGGTTGACTTGCATGGTCGCCTCGGCGCGCATAATCAACATGATCTACATTGTACATTATTAGTCACAAAAAAGCAGACGTTCGGTGGAGGGGGGTCGACATACGACTGCCTCTGGCTGAATGGAAAAATGCGCGTAGGCGGAGATCAATGAAGGCGTAGGCAGAATTGATCCTTCGAAGTAGTAGGTGTACTGGCCGTTCAACCAAAGTCGGAGATCCGTATCAATATCGACGGTGGCTTCGATGTTGGTCTTCGGACAATATATTTCTGCGTATAAGAGCTTAAGCGTCTCTTCGTAGTCAAGTGGCAAGCTGCCTTTCTTGTCTTTGACAGTTGTGGTCCTCTTGGCCAGCTAATTCGAGTACGATCCAAACCATCTCTTGCGGGAGGAAGGCGAATTTGTGATCTCGCTCTGGGACTTTAGTAAGCTAGTGTAGTCGAAAAGGAAGTTCACATCGCCCTTCTTATTCTCTAAAGCGGAAGGGGCTTGGAAACCATAATCCACTATCAACTTATACGTGTCCGATGAGGAAAAGTGGACATCGCGCTTCGTGCTACCAAGGGGAATAGGCTAACTACACGGGCGTATAGGCCCGCGCCAAGGTTCTTTGGAATCTTCACAATGGTGTTCTGGGCTCCTCCCTAGAAGGTTTACAGGTATATAGTCGAGTTGGTAGACATCGCATTGCAACAAATATGATAGACTCCGACGGTATTTTTAAATGTATCTAAGCGTTTCTCGAAAATATTTTTACTCTTATTAAATCTAAGGCCGCGCTTCGTAAGTTCACTCTTATCTATTAGAAAGCTCCACTAGTCGACGAAAGATTCGTTATCTATACTAGTATCTCCGTCAATCATAATAAATAGGAAAGGCTCGTTCTCGTTATTATCGCCCGCTAGTTATAGGAGTATATCTGGTTAGTACTAGGTACTTTGAATAGTATAGATTTTGGTTTTGTTACTCGCTATCGGAATTCGCCAACTCCTCGACCTAATAATAGTCGCTAACATCACCCTCATCGGGATATTTGAATAGATCATCTAGGTCAACTAGTAATTTAACTGATACCTTTGGTATCCATCGGAAGATAATTATACGGGGTATGCTATTCACATACGTGGATAGCTACCCTAGCGATAAAGCTCTAATCACGTAGCGCTTATTTGTCTTTAGCTCCGACAAGGGCTACGAAAGTGATTGTTCGTCTAGCACTAGCATATATTGGTATAACCCAGTAGAAGGTAAAAAATCTGGCATCACATTTCTCTAGGTCCGCGTTCAGGTTGCCGCCCGGGTAGAATGACTAGAAATCCGGGGCATAGTTAAGACCAGAAGCGCAACCTTGCGTATACTCTGACCATGAGCACTTGGAAAGCGCCGGACTGGCGTTGTAGCACAATAATTGTTTGCCCATTAGGTATCGACTGGTTCTGGTTCGGTCGTTGAAAAGATCGGCGATGAGTTCGTACTTGCTATCGCCGCAAGGCGCATCCTTATTGGGATTTCCACATGCTCCGTCTATATTGGCACCTTCCCAGTCACATTTTTCGGCCGCGGTGTCGGTTAGACAGTGGATAAGACGACACTGAGCATCTTATATAGTATTAAAGTGCATCTTCTTACTTTAGCAGGATGCGTTAATTTCGGCCAGTTCCTTAGCCAAGATCTGCCAGGCGACAGACCAGTGGTTCTCATGTGTAATCACCAACAAAGGTGTTGTCTATCATTATCACAAGCATCAATATAGACTCCGATGGTGCATAGCAGCAGCATTGTCGTTGATTTGTGTCCGTACAATGCTACACAATTCTGCCAGTGTGTGATGCTCTCACCCGCATTTTGCCTCCTATTAAGGTTTAGCCCCGCCGATCGCTGATTCAACTCGTATAAGGCGGGGCTAAGCGAGAACCATGACTATTTTTAGCGCGAGGTCCGGAAGTTCATTGATTACTACATCGTGTTTATCTTGTTCATGGAGATGAGAGTGAAGTTTTCGATTATGATTGCCCTGCCAAGAAATTTGCTGTTTGTTTCGTACGTAGTTTGCCTCCTTTAAAGGTAGAGAGCCCTGCCGATCGCTGATGTGGCTCGTATAGAGCCAACCTAACGTGAGGAAACGGGACTATTTTTGGTAGCGAATCCGAAGCTTTCAGCCACAGATTGTATTTGCCCTGGATCTTTCATGAGTATAGGCGATTATTTTGGCCCCAAAGTAGGATTGATCTTCAAAAGCAAATGGCATCTTCCTCGTATTATTAGAGAATGAGACTAAGAACGCCTAATTACAAGCTGCCTGTGGATAACTCAAGTTCTAGGCCGGCTACGAGCTCAACGAATCAATTAGACTCCGGCCATAGCTACGCACCGTCTACAGCACATTTCCTGGTACGAAAATATCTTCTCAACTTTTGTAAAAAAATCCCCCACTACTAAATTTAGCTGCATTCGCTTCGGAAATGTTCATATTAACGCACCTCTCGGGTATATAAGGTCCCAGGTCCAGCCAGATGCTCAACATTTCTATCACAATCACAAAGAAATATAAAGTCCTCAATTTTTCTCAGCTCACCTTGAAATCCCACTTGAAAGATCATCAACACTTCAAGATCTATCTCGTTTCAAGTATTCCCCATTATGCAACTCACGAGCATGGCTCTGGCCGTCGCGGCGGTTTTCTCTATGGCCAATGCGTACGCTATTGATGGCGACGGTGTCAACTGCCGCACTGGTCCATCTACTAGCGATGCGGTTGTTACCTCATACGCAAAGGGTCACGATGTCACAATCACTTGCCAGACTCATGGTGAAGACATCAAGGGTTCCACTATATGGGACAAGACCTCTGACGGCTGTTATGTCACCGACTACTATGTGAAGACCGGCTCTAGCGGCATGGTCACCAAGGATTGCAGTGGTGGCAGCTCTGGTGGCGGCGGCAGCTCGTCCTACGAAGGCAAGATCAGCCGCAAGGAGATCATCTCCCGCGGTGAGTTCTGGGTCTCTCGCCACATTCCATACTCTATGTATGCCGAATACCCGGACCCTACTGGCCGCAAATATCGCACCGACTGCTCAGGGTTTGTTAGCATGGCTCTCCACGCGTATGCACCAGGCTACAACACAGTCAGTCTCCCCGACATCGCCAAGCCCATCTCTTGGGACGACCTCAAGCCTGGTGACCTTGTTGGTACCCTTGGACCCGGCACTGGCGGTGCTGCTGGCCACGTCACTCTTTTCCATTCATGGGCCGACAGTTCCAAGAAGGAGTACAACACGCTCGAGTGCCGTGGCACCTACGGTTGTGTCGCCTATAAGCGCCCTGTCAGCTGGAAGGATGGCAGCTTCACTGCTAAGCCCTACCGATACACCCATGTCGTGGACTAAGTCGGATATTGGGTACATTTTTACCTGAACCCGACTGTTAGGGGTACATGTTTAGTAATTGTGGCGGCTATTGCGGTTGAGCAAGCGGAGAGACGGGAGGAAGACGTGCGTATCTAGATTGCCTTCTTTATCTCTGCTTCGTTTTTCCTTCTCACTCGACGCATTTTTGAATTGCACGCTTGGTATCTATTTTGCTTTGGTCTCTCTTAGTTGTAACATTACTCCATGAACAGCGAGGCAGCACAGAAAGAGGTACAGCGACCAGCTAGCTAGACAGGTATCATCTACCCTACAACTCTGATTTGCTATACGAATATACAAAGATACAAACCCCTGCGCATATTAAACTAATAGATCACGGGATTTCCGTACACGCCAGTCCTGTGGAAACCAACTGAGGACACTGATTGAAGAACTATGCAGAGGATTGCTGTTGAAGGCGCCTCATACCCTTAGGAGATAGTATTAGCGTGTTACAACGCAAGTATTCCAAATTGATCAGATTTACCATACAAAAACATATGCAGGAGTGGGCAGCTCCCTATCCGATGGAACTTCACGCTCCCAACGCTGCTGTAGGAAACTCCGACTGCCTTGATGAAGCGCTCTTGTAACTACCTCTGGTCGACAGTTGATGATATCCCGATGCGACTCTGGGATAGCGGCTTGGGATTGATCTGCTGAAAAAAATTCAAAGCTGATTGTCGTCCCCCGAGGAAGGTTATCAAGGATAGACGTAGTAAAGGCCTAGGGGATAGGCATAAGCTCTAACCCGAGTTTCTTATAAGGAAAGGCGATAAATAATATACTGAAGGTATAGTTCTAGTGCTATTGCTGTAGGATTGGATGTAATAATAATAGCGCCCTCGGAAGGGGATTATATATTGCATTCCTTAGAGTATAATGAATCGGCTCTCCTCTGTAGTAACTTAATTATCTCCTGTGCTAGAGGTTAATTAGATAAGTATAGTTCTCCCTCTTTATTTAGACTATAATCCTCGAACCCTATTATATTATAGCAACTTGGGCTTATTGGCTACGATAATTCCCGGTAATTTTTTACGATAAGTTCTTCTCTTTCTAACAAGACGTTGTATTTATTACCGATAATTACACGACTCAATCTATTTAGGGTAACTTGCTTAATTCGCGAGCGGAGGTTAACCTACGCTCTAGGCGGGAAACTCCCAGTAAAATTTACCTATAGCGGACCAGATTCAGCTTTATAATCCGATCGGAAATTAGCACAGAAGCTATAGGAAGTAATCACTAGCAGAAACCCCTGTAAACGCCGATCCTTATCGTTGGGTGCCACTTTCGGAATACTAGGGAAGAAATCTTCTCCCGGACGATTATTCTTTCGGTGAAGAATCTCCCGTCTTTGATGCTCCACGTAGGCGAATATATTAGGCCGGGGACTATAGATCTCAAATGACAAGGTTCCTGTGGGATAGTCAGAAATCTGCGAGGAGAGATATTGGCACAAAGCGGTAGACTTTATCTTCAGAGCCTAACTCTAGGGGGATGTTGCTGTAAACCTGGATGGCGATTTCTGGAACAGGAGCTAACGAGGTGTCAGGGTTGGTAGGCCTGAATTACATCAAAACCAAAGGTTGGTCTGCATAGTCTCGGTAATGTTGTGTAACCCCTCGTGGACGCAGGATCTTCTGTACGTTTTTGATCCCAGCTATTGCGCTATCTTAGGTGGGATGAGAGGGGTAAAAGAAAGCGGCCCTACCTAGACTGCGCCAAAAACCGCAAAACCGCAAAACCGCAAAAAACCAAACCGCAATTGGGGGGGGTTTTGGGGCCAATTCTAGAAACCGCAATGGTTTTTGGTTTCTAGGTTAGAAACCGTAATGGTTCTTGGGGCCCTAATGGTTTTTAAAGCGGGGCTAAAATATCACGTGGATAATATTCTATCAATATTTATTGGCTATATCTTAATTACTAAGCTATTTAACTAGTTCGTAACTAGTTATTATGCAATTTTATGTAATTATATGTAAAAATGGTTTTTGATGGTTCCCCAATGGGGAACCGCAATGGTTTGTGGTTTGGTTTGGTTTTTGGTTTTAAAAACCGCAACCATTACGGTTTGGTTTTTGGGGGCAAGGTTTGCCCCCAATTGCGGTTTTTGGCGCAGTCTAGCCCTACCCCTGTCTGCTAAAAAGAGAATGGTGATAGTGCTATTCACAGACTAACCCCTTTAGGGTTAGAATAGCTAGACTGCGCCAAAACCCGCGAATAGGTTCTGATATTAAAACCTAACCTAACCTAACGTGGGTTATAGGTTCTGTACCTAGAACCTAACCTAACCTAATAGGTTTCTATTCCTCGAATAAAAACCTATTAATAACCTATTTTAACCTATTTTTATATAAAATCTTTATGTTAGCGTTTATAATACTACTAACTAATTAAAATAAATTACTATTTTTTATAAGTATACTAGTTTATCTATTAAATATTACTATATTCCTATCTTAATAAATAAGAAATTTTATAAAATTACCTTATATCTAATTTTATAAAACTTTATATTAAGTTAATTACTACTAAATCTTTAATTTTAGACTATTATAGTTATTAGTTTAGAATTTATATATCTAAATATAAGAATATATATATTTACTATAGAAATATTCTTTATAGTAGAAATACTCTTTTCGGCTAAAAAGCTCTTTAATTCTTACTAGTTTAGTTCCTATTTATTTCTCTATATTTTATATATTAGTATTAAATTCTAATAGCTATTAGAATTTAGGCTATTTATTATATTAATATTCTTAGAGGTAATTTCTAATAGCTATTAGAAATTAGGCTATCTACTATACTAATATCTTTAGTAAAGATTTTTAATAGCTATTAGAATTTAGATTATCTATTACCTAGATAGTATTAATATCTTTAAAGGTAATTTTAGATTAGGTATAGATTATTTATAGATTTTATAGGCTATAGATAGGTTTTTATAGATTTTAATAGGTTTTTATAGATTCTAGATAGATTTTTATAGGTTCTAATAGGTTTTCGTAGGTTCCGATAGATTTTAGTAGGTTAGACCTACTTAAAAGCCTTACTCTAAACTAGTTATATTAAATATATAAGGGTTAGTAGTCTAATAATATAATAAATCAATAAGTCTACTAGCTTAGAGCTTAATTCTTATAAAGAACTCTTAGTATATCTATATTTCTCTTTTTAATATATCTTAATAATCTCTAAGTACCTTCTTACTCTATAATATATCTTAAAATTAATATTCTAATATATTTCTATCTTCTATTTTTAATAATATAGAGAGCTCTCTATATTATATATCCGAGGACCTATAGATATTTATCCCTAAGCCTTCTAGTAGCTACTAGACCTTTAATTTATTTAATTAAGACTTTCTATAACTACTACCCCGTTAATCGATTCTTTCTTTTTTAAAATATATTAGCCCTAATTAGAGAAAGAACTACGTTCTCTATAACGATATAATATATACTAAGTAAGTATAATAGTAGCTTAAAATAGACTATAGGTAGATAAATAAGATTAATTAAGATATAGGCTATTACTCTAAATACTAGAAGTATTTTAACTAAGTAATAGATAGCGTTACTAGTATACTAAAAGCTATATATAAATATTATAGTTAAATCCTTAAGTATCCTTTAACTCTACTATATCTAGATAATAAAACTCGCTAAAATACCTTAATACTATTAAAATATCTTAAAATTATTATATATTAAAAATATATATAGAATAATACTTAGAGTATAATTACTAGATTTTTATAGGCTATAGTAAGTATTTCTTAATAATAGAGATAAGATATATTAATAAGCTAAAGATTTACTTAAAAGGCCTAGGAAGAGAAGCTTCTTACCTTTCTAATAGTCGTATATCTTCTTTTTCGACTTATTAAATATCTTAAATTCTATAACCTAATCTAAATAGCTTAATATACTCCTTCTAGCCCTAAGATCCTATCTATAAAGACTATTTATTATTACCTATAAATAATAGTTAAAGAATAGTACTAAAGTATCTTACGAAAACTCCCTAAGGATATAAAAATATTAATTACTTTTAATTACTAAATATCTCTTTTTTCTTAGATATTTATAGCTATTACTAGCTATTTTATCAATAAAGATTAGTAGTATCGAGAGATTCTACTTAGCTTTTAATTATTTTCTAGAATATATTCTAGCGAGAATCTTAGTACTATACTCCTAGATATACTTATATAATATTATATCTAGGATTATATACTTATAATTACTACCGATAATATATCGAATAATAATACTTTAGTTAATATTTTATAGTAGTCGCTATTAGATATAACTACTATTATTTAAGTTCTATACCTTGCCTATATTATCTAACTAAGCTTAAATAAACTACTTAGATAGATAAAAGCTAATTTTATAAATAATATAACTAAGATATATTAGATAAGTAAATAGTTTTAGTAGACTTAAGTAAATATAAATATAAATATAAAAAAGCGAGACATTACTTATACTTTAAATAAGATAGATAACCTTTATCTTTTCTTACTTATATTAACCTTTATTAATCTAATCGATTATTATAGATTTATAATCTTATAATTTATATTAATATAAGCCTTTAGTATCGTAATATATTCTATAAACTCTAGACTAAATTAACTAAGCTTATATTACTATAAGATATTAAGATATACTAGAACTTAACTTTTTTAATACTTTAATATATAAAATAACTCCGACTAATTTTTAAGCCTTTCTATACTAAATATAATTAGACTAATATTATACTTAATATAGATAAATAGCGCTAGATTAACTATTTATTATAGATTATATAATCTTTTTTTAATTTTACTTTTAAACTATTAAAAACTAAAAATACTACTATAATATTATATCTTTATAATTTATAATAAGCTTTTTAAATACTTTAAGCGATTAATATACTAGTTTTAATAGAAAAAGATATATTAGAAATAGAGA